GCGGGCACACGCACACGCACGGACACACAGACAGGGGCACACATGCACACACAGACACACAGGACGCGGTAACACACTCAGACGCGGGCACATGCACACACACAGACACAGGACGTGGGCACACAGAGACACAGGCACACACACAGAGACACAGACACACACAGAGACACAGACACACACACAGACACACAGACACAGGACACAGACACACAGACACAGGACACAGGCACACACACAGACACAGGCACACAGACACAGGACGCAGGCACACACACACACAGACACACAGACACAGGACGTGGGTACATACATACACAGACACAGGCACACAGACACAGGATTAGGACACACACAGATATGGACACACGCACACATAGACACAGGATGCAGGCACACACAGATGTGGGCACACACACACAGACACACAGATACCAGATACAGGCACACACAGATACAGGTACACACACAGACACACAGGCACACACAGGCACACAGAGACACACAGACACACAGATACATGCACACACACAGACACAGGCACACACAGGCACACACATACACAGAGGTATAGAGACACAGGACACGGGCATATACACATATACATACAAATAGGATGTGGGCACACACAGAGACACACAGACACAGGACACGGGGACACGCACACATACACAGAGACACAGAACAGAAGGAACATGCACACACGGACACCAGATACAGGCACACAGAGATACAGGCACACACACAGACACACTGGCACACACATGCACACAGACACACAGGCACAGGACGTGGGGCAGGGCACCTCCACCGCTCCCTTCCCAGCATTTGGCGGTGCCCGCACAGATCATTTGTAACCTCCGCCTGCAGTTCTGACAGAGACATGAGCAGCGGGAATGAGTAGCCAATCAGTTCCCACCCTATAGTCTTCCCCTTGTCGCCTAGGTAACTGGCACAGGGACACATCAGCTAGCTGGGTACCACGGACACACACACACACACACACACACACACACACACACACACACACACACACCTTTGCTCCCCTAAGGTCCAGAGCGGCAGAGACGCTGTGTGAATCTGTCAGGACCCCGGACAGCTCCCGCGGTTCCTGTTCCGAGACTCTGCGGCTCCCGGATTCTTACACCTCCCGGCACTTCCCACCTTTTTGTTCCTCTGCTCCTGCCATTCCTCCGCCGAATGTGCCCTCCCCGCTGCCGTCTCCAGTGCTCCAAACCTTGCTGGCCCTGGAAGCCAGCTCCGTGCTTCGGTCAAGACTTCTAAGGGCCTCCATCGGGGAATGAAATCCACACCCCTTCCCCTCCGGGATGCAGCTGCCGGGATCCGGCCTCCAGCCTCAGCCTCCCTTTCCTTTCCTCCTATTCTGCCTCCAGCAAACCAGACCCGCAACACATCACACATATTCTGGAGACCAGGACCCAGGGCGCGTCCTTCCTGGCGCCTGACACTCCCTTCTGCCCACCCGGCAGGTCCTTCCTCCAAGGAGCCTGTGGGAGCCTCGCAGACACCGTCTCTGTGAAAAGTGCCCTCAGAGGTCTGGCTTTGCTTTCTAGTTTCCAAGGAACATATCCCAGTCCTGCCGATGCGCGGGTTCCTTCTGTCTGCCCCTCTGGAATCGAAACTCTGCTACAGTGGGGGGAGGTGGGGGACTCTGTCTTGTTCCCGGCCATGTCCTCCGCCTCCAATCAGGGATCAATAGGAGAAGCCGAATGGACGTAAGTCCGTCCCTCCTCACTGCCTCTCATCTCCTCTCTCTCGAGTAAGAGCTGGAGGCAATGCCTTCGATGAACCCTCCTGGCTAATGTTCTCAAAGTCCATTAGGCAGCCGTGAGGTCTTGCAGAAGGAGGGGAATTAATCAGGAAGACGCTGTGCACGGGAACCCGGCCTTGTCCCCCACTTCCCTTCCGGCCTACAGCGCCGTCCTCTGCGCAGCTTCCCTGGAGGAATTTGCTGCTGCTCTCAACTCATTGCTCCCAAGCACCTGAAGTTTGGCTTTCGGAAGGACTGGGGCCAGCTCGAAGCAGAGAATCTGCTTTTATTTCTCAGACCTTGTACAGACCAGCAGGAGCCTAGGGGTGGGGTCAGGACAGGACAAACCCACTTCTGAGCCTATTCTGGGCTACGTGTCCTTACTGGCGTGGCTAGAGGCAACTATAGTGCTGCTGGCAGAACCAGAAATGTCAGGTTTCATTAGAACACAGGTCACAGAGACCTCTCCAAACCCCAAGGGATCCTGAAGCTGGGATCCCAGCATCCCCCAATCTCTCCTTCAGGACTATGACTCTGCCTTCCGGTCCTGGAAAGCATAGAGAGACCAGGCCACCGGGGCTCTGTGCGGGGCTGACCACCAGGATCACACTCCGGCACAGCCTGAGTGAGTAAGGCCAAGGTGCAGATTCAAGCGGCCACAGCGCAGACAATCTGATTGGATGTTCCAAACTCAAGAGTGAGGAGAATTCTTTTCATTATTCTCAATCTTTTCATTATTCTCAATCCCACTCACCCGAGTACAGATCATTCCCCCGAGCCTGAAGATATAGTGGATGCAGAGACCAGGCCATGAAGAGTAGGATTTGGTTTTGCAATTTCATGCTTTAATTTTGTTTTGTTTCTGGGACACACCTGGCTCTGCACTCAGGAATTACTGCTAGTGATGCTTGGGGCACCATATGGGATGCTGGGGATTAAACCTGGGTCAGCCGCATGCAAGGCTGACTAAGGCCCTACCCAATGTGCTATCATTCTGCCCCCCTTTAAAGTTATTATTATTGTTGTTGCTGTATTTTGCAGTGCAAGGGACGGAACCCAGGGCTCACACATCCAAGGCATGTGCTCTACCACCGAGCCCCATCCCTGGCCCCAGATTAGCATTTCCTGAGCGCCTACGATGCACCAGGCTGACACAGATTCTCAGAGGCCACCCACACCTTTTCCTTTCCCACACTTTATTTTTTCCCTTTTGGGCCAACACCAGACGATGCTCAGGGGTTACTCCCAGCTCTGTACTCAGGAATTACTCTTGGCAGTGCACGGGGGGACCATATGGGATGTCGGGGATTGAGCCTAGATCAGCCACATGGAAGGCAAGGGTCCTCCCCGCTATGCTATGGCCCCCCGGTCCCTCTCCTTTCCCACTTTATGGAGGAAGAAACCTGAAACTCAGAGTGAAGTGCCGACCAGGGGCCTCCTGACAAGCCGAGGGGCCCATGTCAGGACAGGAGACTGGTGTCCCAGCACCCCCTCACTCCCGGGACCGGAAGTGACATCATTGGGGGGGCAGGGGAGCCAGAATGTTCACGCCCCTCTCGCTAGCCCCGTCCCTCTCATCCTGACCTCCTGCCTCCAGCTCCTCACCCAACTGGCCCCCATGGCTCAGAGTCTCATTTGAGGCCCAGCCCACAGGAACCAATCTTCCTGTGGCCCAGAGAATGCCGAGGATTTTGCCTTTTTAAAATAGTAATTTCCGGCGCGGGTGGCTGAACAACCACCCTCTGATTTAGTGCTGAGCTCAAGGATCAACCTCCAGGAAGGTTTTCCAAGGCACACTGGGAGGCTGGGGCACTGAGGGACAGAGAAGGGACCAGTGCTCTTCCTGCACCCCCAGGACCCTCCCAGGCGTGCGCGCGTGCGCACACACACACGCACACACACACAGCTCACCAGCACACGCATGTGTGGGCACGCTCAGAGAGCAGCCCCCTGCCCACTGGACACGGCAGCCCCGCTCCTGAGCCGGGCCCAGCTGTACACTCTGCGGGCCCAGCCCCGACTTGGGGTTCCGGGAATCTGCAGCACAGGGTAGCGACCGTCCCTTTACAGGGATAGGAAGTGGGCCCTGGGGGGCAGCAATGGGGGTGTCCAAGGTCACGGAGCAAACCTGTGTTTCCGAATTGGGGGACGCAGAACCTCCCTCTGCATGTCACCTTCACCGACTCTGGACTCGGGGGTCAGCGGGTCAGCGTGATGGCCTCCCCCAACCCCAGGGCAGGGAGGCCTGGGCCCTTCTTCAGCCCAAAGTTGGGCTGTGGAGGGGGAGCACTCTCCCCACGGCTGCCTGCCGGGGTCTCCAGGATCTACCTACCACCTGATCTGCTTCTCAGCAAGACCCTCACTCACCTTTCCAGCTCGGAGACTGGGGACGCCAAGAGGTGGACGGGATCCCCTGGCCCCCACATACACACGCACAGGCGTGTTCTGACCTGCCCTGGGAATGGAGCCTTGAGCCAGGCCCTGAGAGGAAGGAGGTGCCCCCCACCCCCACATGCACCATGGAAACCTTGCATGGACACGGACTTGGGCTCACACCCCAGTTCTGCCACCTCCATCTGTGCTGTGTGACCTTGGCCAGAGGAGCCCCGTCTCTGAGGCTGTGTCCTCACCTGTAACGCACGGGGACAGGAGCAGCCCCAGGGGAGGGTCAGCGGTGCAGGGGAGCCCCCGGAGGCAGCCGGGACGGCGGGGTGCAGTTCCACGGAGCCCCCCTAACTCAGCAGACCCCCAGATGGCCCACTTCTCCCCAACCGCGCACACAACACGCCCACCCCACTCCCCCGACTCCCGGCGCGACCCATCCGGATCAGCAGCGAACCCGAACTTCGCCGGGCCCCGGGGCGCGGGTCCCTCGCCCTCCCGCCGCGCCCCCCGCGGGGGGCGCCCAACAGGTCCCCCGGGGAGGCCGGAGCCGGGGCCGCGCCGCAGCGCTGCGGCAGGACCGCGCGCGGGCCGGGGACGAGGGGACCCCGCGGCGCGCCCCCCGGCCCCGCCCGGCCCCCGCGCCGCCGCAACTTCGGGGAACTGAAGAGTCTGGGGGAGACGGGGGCGGCGTCGGGGGCCGCGGGAAAGTTGGGCCCCGGCGCCCCGCGCGCTCGCGCCCGCCGGCTCCCCCGCGCGCAGCCCCCGGGGCCCCGCCGCGCCCCGCGCCCAGTGTCCCGCGGTGACCCCCGGCCTCCCGCGGGGACCCGCCGCGGCCACCGCGTCCTACCTTCGTCCGGCAGGCGCTGCAGGCAGATGGCCAGGTTCCTCCGCCAGCCCCGCATCCCCGCGGCCGCCCTGCGGCCCGGCCCGGCCTGGCCAGCCCGGCCCGGCCCGCCCCGCCCCCGCCCGCGCGGCGCAGCGCTGGGCTCGGCCGCGGGCCCCGGGCGCGGCGGGCAGGGGCGGCCCCGAGGGTCGCGGTGCTCGGCGGCCGCAGGGCGCTCCCTGCGCTCCCCGCCCGCCCGCCCGCCCGCGGCCGAGCTCCCGGGCGCGCGCGCTTTCCGGGGCGCGGGGGCGGGGCGCCGGCGCGGGCAGCGCGGAGGGGCGGGCTGCGGGGGGACCCCCGGGCCCCCCGCGCGCCCCGCGTCCGGTCCCCACCCCCACCCCCGGGGCCAACGCCACTGCTGGTCCCGAAATGCCGGTCCCCGCGGATGAATGAATGAAGGCGTGAATGAATCAGGGACTCCGGGCAGAGATGAATGAATGAACGAGAGAAGGGGAAAATGAATGAACGAATGAGTCCATGAATTGATGGAGTGGATGCGAGCGTGCGGCAACTAACGGGCGAAGGAATAGATGAACATCTCTGTGCCCCCCCCCCCCGAACGAAGGAGTGGGTGAGTGCCCCCTGGCACCGGACCCTGAAAGGTCAAGGAACACCCCGCTCCCACCACCAGGAGTCTGAGTGGGGCGTTAGTGGGGACCCTCCACTTGCACTTTGCAGGGGGGCCAAACCCACCTCTGTGAAGGCAGAGCGTGCAAATGCCCACTGGCAAAGGCTGGAGGCAGGTGGGATCTGTCTGTCTGTCTGTAGCCCTTATCCACTATCTCCATAGCTGAGGAGAGAACCTGCAAATGCAAGCTGGCAAAAGCTGGAGGCAGATGGAGTCTGTCTGTCTGTCTGTCTGTCTGTAGCCCCCACAGCTCTCAGGCTCTGAGGGGCCCTTAGGCTGTGGGAGGTGAGTGGAGTGGGGTGTCCTAGCCCAGATGTCAGGTTTATGATCCTCAGGGGGTGATGGGGGGGAGGGGAAGGATGTCTGTAGTCCAGGGAGAAGGTTGGTCAACTCATGGGGGGGCAGGGCGTGCCCGCTCCCTGCCTGCCGTTTCAGACACAGCGAAGAGGGAACAGCAAGTCCATTGTGTTCAGGAACCAAGGAAGGCTGGTTCTCCACATCTCCGCTCAGGCTCAGGAGAGATTATCTCCTGGAACAATGGTCCACACCTCCCCCGCTCCCCCCCCCCTACACAGGTGCCCCGGCCTGGGTAGGAAAGACCCCCTTCTACTGACCCTCTGCTGCTGCCTTTTGATCTTTTTTTTTCTTTTTGGGTCACACCCGGTGATACTCAGGGGTTACTCCTGGCTCTGCACTCAGGAATCACTCCTGGCGGTGCTCGGGGGACCATATGGGATGCTGGGAATCGAACCCGGGTCGGACGCGTGCAAGGCAAACGCCCTACCCACTGTGCTATTGCTCCAGCCCCACTGCCTTTTGGTCTTTTTGGAACTCTGGAAGTCTATCCAAAAATAAAGCGTTCAGAGCAAAAGTCCTACATCATGGGTCCGGGGAGTTAGGACGCGGGTTAAGGCACTTGCCTTCCACTTCACTGACTCTGGTTCCATCCCTGGCACCTCCAGGAATGATCCCTGAGCACTGCTGGGTGTGGCTGCCAATTTTTATTTTAAACAACGTTAGAAAAGAGTCCATACCCCGGTGAAGGCTGCCTCGCCGTGCCCCTGGCGCTGAGCCCCGCAGCAGGGGCAGTGAGTGTGTTTCAGGGCAGCTCCTGGCCATCTCGAGGAAGCATGGGACCCTCCTCCAACCTGGGTTTGTTGGGTTTGTTGTGGCGCTGCCAGGAATCGAACCCAGGTCTCACGCATGCCAGGCATGTTCTTTCTTACTGTGCCTTTTCCCCCTCCCCTGGTCCCTGGGGGTGTCACTCTTTAGCTGTGTGTCCCTAGACCCCAAACTTCCTCTCTCTGAGCCTCAAAGTCCCTAGCTGCAAAGTAGGGACCGCCAGGATGTCCTGACAGAACCCAGTGGGGTGGAATCCAAACCCTCTGGACCCTCTGGGCACTTACCTAAACTCTGTATTAGAAGAATCCCCTCCGGAAGGCCAGGAGAGCATCCTTTGGGTTTGTTTTTTGTTCATTTTTGGGGGGGGGGTTCACACCTGGCAGTGCTCAGGGATTTCTCCTACCTCTGTGCTCACTCCTAGCAGTACTCCGGGCACCATATGTCGTACCAGGGATCAAACCAGTATCAGCTGTGTGCAAGACAAGCACATCACCTACTGTCCTATCTCTCCAGCCCACGGAGGAAGTGGGTGCGAGGTCAAACGACACCTGGCTCTGTGCTCAAGGATCATTCCTGGTGGTTCTCAGGGTTTTTTGGTTTTTTTTTTAGGCTTTTCTGGGTCACACCTGGCTATGCACAGCTGTTACTTCTGGCTCTGCACTCAGGAATTACTCCTGGTGGTGCTCGGGGGACCCTATGGGATGCTGGGGAATCGAACCTGGGTTGACCGCGTGCAAGGCAAATGCCCTCCCCGCTGTCCTCTTCTGGTTGGACCATATGTGATACCAGGGGACCACGTGTGATGCCATGAATAGAATCCGGGTCAGTCATATTCAAGGTAAGGGCCTTAAGAAGTAGCTTCTTAGGCATTCTGGGGCCGTCAGTGTTCAGCAAGTCTGTCCGAATAGGGGCACTGGGGCACAGACAGGTTAACTGTGTTTCCCAGGGTCACCCAGCCAGCAGTCATGACAGAACTGACATTCACGCGCCCCTGCAGCAGCCCCCTACCCACCGCGTCCGGATCCTGGGCCTCCACAGACGTACATGCGCTGCTCAGCGCCTCGGTGTGCCCTCCTGTGCAAACCCTGAATTATTCATCACCTCGGTAAGTCCCGCAGGCCCTGGGGCTGAGGGAGAGGCAGATCACGCATGCCCACGTCTGCAGAGTGCTGACTCCAGAACTTTCTAATGGATGGGAACTTCTGACAAGGAAGTACGTGGAGCCCAGCAGGAACAAGCGGGCTGCCGGAACCAGGACCCCTCTTGCCCCGGGATCCCTCCTGCCCACAGATCCCTGCCTGCACCAGATTCTTCCTGCACCCAGATCTGTGTCCTCCACAGCCAAGAAACTGAGGTCTTGGCAGGAGTCACGGGTGGAGGAGATGAGGGTCTCAGCCCCCAAGGCAAAGCCAACATCCCCTTAAATTTACCCAGAAAACACTGCAGCATGAGTATTTTCCCCCAATAACCCACCAAGTCTTCCTCTAGTCCCAACCTTGTGAGTCTTCCCAGCTGAGACCCCAACGCGGGTCACTTCCGTTTTCTAAATTTTTTTTTTTTTTTTTTTTTTTTTTTTGCTTTTTGGGTCACACCCAGCGATGCACAGGAGCTACTCCTGGCTCTGCACTCAGGAATCACCCCTGGCGGTGCTCAGGGCACCAGATGGGATGCTGGGAATTGAACCCGGGTTGACCGTGTGCAAGGCAAACGCGCTACCCGCTCTGCTATTGCTCCAGCCCCCCATTTTTAATGACGCAGATGACATTTAAAGCCTGACATAACAGCAGCAAATACTAAAAGCCGGAAGGAGATGGTGACCCCAGCGGGTCTGAGGGAAGGCTCTGACAGCGCCTCGGACCAGGACCTGCTAGCAAATGCACAATCCTGAGCTCCCTGACCTTCGTCAAGAGCATGAAATCCTTTCTGGGTTTCTCTCCATCAGCAAACACAGACACTAGCATAGATCTTTCATAAAAGCAATGTGATGTAACTTTTTTTATCGGGTGGGGAGGGTTCAAACCTGGTGATGCACAGGGTTAACTCCTGGCTCTACACTCAGGAATTACTTCTGGTGGTGCTTGGGGGACCATATGACATGCTGGGAAGTGAACACGGTTGGCCGCGTGCAAGGCAAACGCCCTCCCCGCTGTGCTATTGCTCCAGCATCCCTGATGTAACTTTTGACAATTTGGAACTTTTTTTCTTCTGCCACACCTGGCAGTGCTCAGGACTGACAGGTAACTGAGCTTCAGGGATCACTCCTGGTGGGGTTCAGGGAACCAATGGGGGTGCGTAGGATCGAATCCAGATAGACCTGTGTAAGGCAAATGCCTTACTGTATTATCTCTCTGGCCCTGAAAATTTAAAAAATGGGGGCGCTGGAGCAATAGCACAGCGGGTAGGGCATTTGCCTTGCACGCTGCCAACCTGGGTCGACCCAGGTTCGATTCCCAGCATCCCATATGGTGCCCTGAGCACCGCCAGGGGTGATTCCTGAGTGCAGAGCAGAAGTAACCCCTGTGCATCACTGGGTGTGACCCAAAAAGAAAAAAAAAAGAAAAAAGAAAATTAAAAAAACGGAAGTGACCCGCGTTGGGGTCTCAGCTGGGAAGACTCACAAGGCTGGGACTAGAGGCTCTGGCCACTTCTTCATGGGAGTTTGGCTCCAGGTACTTAAGCTGGTGCTCCAGAACCTTCTGGGCTCTGGGTTCTGGGCTCTGCACACACTAGGAGTCAGACAGCTTTGGGAGGTAGGTGAAGGGTACAAGCAGAACCTCATCTAGGGGTCTGGGCACAAGTACAAACTGGGGACCCTGAGCAGGATCCTGGGGTTCAGGAAAGAACCGTGACTGCTTATTTTTCTTTCTCATATTTAAAATAAAATACCAAAAACTTAGCTTGGGGGTGGGGGTGGGGGGCTGACTCCTGGCTCTGCACTCCGGGATCTCTTCTGGCAGGCCTTGGGATGATGGGGGTGAAAACTTGGGAGGCCGCATTCAGGGCAAACACCTTCTCCGCTGGGCTGTCTGTCTCTTGCCGCCAACAGCTTTCTCTGGTAGCTAATATATGGGCTGAGAGTGGTACAGTAATCTCTGCATGGTTGGGGGATGAGCGTCTCAGACGGTTCCACCAACTGGCATGTGAGACCTCGGAGTTTAGACAATCCTTAGATGCTAATGCCTGCTCAGGAGTGATCCCTGAGTGCAGAGCCAGGAGTGACCCCCGAGCATTTCCACGAGTGGCCCCAAACCAGATGCTGAACCCTGTGTTTTTGATTGCTTTATTCTGGGGCCACCCTGGGCAGAGCTGAGGGCTCACTCCTGGCTCTGAGCTCAGGGATCAGTCCTGGGGGGCT